ACATGGTGGTGGTAGTGAAAGTGGAGAGGGGGGGGGGGGGGAATTCTCCAGTCCTACACTCCACGCCCGCTGTCCACGCACGGCTATTATCGCTGCCAGTTGGGCCCCCCTCCTCGCTCCGCCAGCACACGGCCCGCTTCCCAGGGCACTAAGTAGCCGCCAAATGGTCTGTCTTGACGGCGTGGCGTGGCGTGGCGTGGCGGGGGAGCGTGCTGGCTTTGGTGGTGCTGCTCAGGTGCGGCGGCAGGCAGATGCGCGCCAAAAAAGACTTTCGCCGCGAGCGGGCGGGCCGAGTGGCGTGGCGTGGCGTGGCCAGGGAATGCGAGTGACGAGCTGGTGCCGGTGCTAATCTAAGCATGAAACGTTTATTTGAAAAGGAGACTGCTCGTTCTCTCTCTCTCCCCATCGCTCTCCTTTTCCTCGCCATTACGCCGTTTTATACTCTCTGGGCTGTTTACCAAAGGGGGTCATTCTTCGTGCTAATGCACTAGGTCCCCCTCCTCCTCCTCCTCCCCGACCGGCCGGCTTTTTGTTCTGCTGCGCTTTGCTCGACGTGATCCTGGCCGCAAGAAGAGGTCGTCCTCCTCCTGGTCCTCGAGGGGCCGTCTGTCTCTCCCTCATTGTGCGGGTGACAACGGCGACATTCTTCCCTGTCCGCCACGCTGCGCGCCGCCGGTCTGGCGCCACCCATAAACAACAACAACAGCAGCGCCAGTAAGGTGTGAAGGGGGGTGCCGTGCTCTGGTCTGCTCTGCGGGGTGGTCAAGCTGATAGTTATTCGTCTCTGCGAGGCGCCCGCCCGCCCGCGCCAGCCTGGCGCCACCAATAAAGTCATTGTCAGGTGTGAATAAAGGCGTGCTGCTGAAGTGGAGGGCGGCGCGGCGGGGTGGGTGAGACCCTTGAGGTGTCAATATGGAGCAGGGTGCCGGGTGCCGCCCGGGCCCGGCCAAGGTGTACTTCACTAAGTAAAATAATCAGCGTACACCCTGCAAAATAAAATTAAAAAGTAAGAAAATAAAAATCAATTTAAAACAAATGAGAAAAAGTCGGAAAAATCAAGATAAACCATGGTGTACCCTTGAATTCATTGAGGAGTATCCTTCGGTCGTCGTGGCCGTCGGCGCGCCGTCCGGAGTGCTTCTTGCGTCCTTCCCGTCGGGCCGGGGGCCTCCTGGGCACGCCACCACAGCGGAGGAAGGCGTCACTTCTCATCAGCATCGGCCTGGGAGCGCCCAGGCCACGAACGTCGTGCGTCCTTCGTGGTCCTTTACTTTTTTGGCGTCCGTAGTTGTGTGTCTGTGGGTCAGGTAATTAACAGCAGCGACCGCAGCCGCTTCTGGGGCGCGGCAAGGTGTGTGAGTGAGTACACCAGAGCGATCGCCCTCGGGGTGTTCAGGGTGTTCTTAGGCACGGACAGCATCGGCACCGTGAAGTGTCGCGCTTTATCGCCGAAGATATCTTTGAATACGCCCCGTGTCTTTTCCGACGCATTCACGACGTTTTATCGACGACGCGTGTTCGAGCCGTTTTGCCGACGTGTCCACGACGCTTTTCCGACACGGACGGTTCCTCGGCGCGTCGACACGTGCGCCGTTGGAGGAAGGGGGAGGGCTCTTCCTCCTTGTGCTTGCTACCGTTCGGATACTACCACGCCCCGCCACGCCCCGCCACGCCCCGCCACGCCCCGCCACGCCCCGCCACGCCCCGCTCGCGGCCAGCCCAAGGCCCCACAAGGTCGCCCGCTAGCCGCCGCTTTGCGGTCGTTGTGCTCGGCGGGAACGAAATGTAACGTGAAAGAGTGAGACGGAGATATCATAGAGAGAGGCTCTGCTGGCTGCTGGTCGGCGTTGCCGGCTCTGCTGCAGCTCGGGTAATGATGGGGTAGACGTGAGCCCCACCTCACCCCACCTCACCCCGCCACACCTCACCCCGCCCCGCCCTCCACTGGGCTTGAGAGAGCGCCGGCCGGCGCATTTTTGTAGGTCCGTCCGTCTTTGTATCATTTTCTAGAATATTATTAAACAACGATGCGCCCCGGCGGCCCCTGCTGGTCTGTTGGTCGGCACGCAAGTAAGAGTGTATGGAGGGAAAAGCGCCCGAGGGGGTGGAGTAGTTGAGAGGGAAGGGGGGCATACTTTCAGACAGAAATAACATTTGCGCAGGTAAGGCGTGAAATCCGCGAAGCCGCCGGTGTGCACTTTTGCCTCTCTGTAGCATAATCCTCCCTTGTGCGCCACCGCGCTGACCACCGTCTTTCATATCTTTCGTTTCTCTCTCTCTCTTTCTTTTCCTTGTCTCTCTCTTTCTTGTCTCTCTCTGTCGTCTCTCAAGAGATGGGCAAGAGCGAAATTCCACAAACTTGGGAGAGTCCATAAATAAACAGGTGTGTGTGTGTGTGCGCGCGCATTCATACAGCAGAGAGAGATGCGCGAAAGACGAGAGACGAACAAACATTTCCCATCATCAATCCTTATAGTGCTGCAGCAGGTGAACAGTACAACACACATGATGGGTCGTGTACATCACGTCCTAAACACACACTCTCACATGCCGTTCTGCATTGCGCCTCGTCGTCGCTGTCCCACATCCTAGTCCCAGGCAAGGGGGCCGCGCTTGTCCGCGCCGGTGTCTGTCTGTGTGTCGGTGGCTCTCTGGTGAGCAGCGTCGTGCCGACCTGAATCAGGACGAGTTGAAAATTCCACAGAAACGCCGCGGCCGCGCGACCAACGCGCGACCCGGCCGGAGGTAGGAGGCAGGTGCAGCAGCAGCAGCAGCAGCAGCAGCAGCAGCAGCAGCAGCAGCAGCAGCAGCAGCAGTAGCAGCAGTAGCAGCAGCAGCAGCAGCAGCGGCGCAGGCACCGCACACGCGAGGCAGGCGGACTCGTGTCGTCGTGCCCCGAACGGGGTGGTCATCATCATCGCCTCCTCCCTCCACAAGGAACAGGAATTTGAAAAGAAAAACACGGGGTGGAGCAGAAACAGGGTGAAATGGAAATGTGTGCGAAACGTAAAATGGCGCACAGCTGCGGACTCTTAATTGTTAATTGTTTTGAACTATTGTCGCACGCAGTTTTATGTATTTCTTTGTACCTGGCTTATTGCTTATTTTTATTTTCTACGCAATTCTGAATGAATTTGGAAAAATGTCCATAATTGTGTTTTGAAAACAATACGCATACAGCGCAGGTTCACAGAAATACAAAAATAAATGGAGTAAAAGTTTTTTGCGCGCGGACACGCAATTGCTTTGCAACAATAACAAAGTATTTTTATTTATCTTTTAACTGTAATTTTTTGGGGTGATTTTAAGGTAAGACTTCTCCCTCCTGAAAGGCAAAGGCCAGGGTGATTATAACAGTGTAGTATAGTACTATATACCCGTGGCTCCTCGCGTTGTCACCCGCGGGAGGAGCTGAAAACGAAAGTATGAGCGGCAGGTCCTCCAGGGGCGGGGCGGGGCGGGGCGGGGCGGGGCGGGGTCCCTTTGTGAAATGACGGGGTGTGCTTGCTGTGCGCCGTACGGACGGTCGGCCCTGCATCCTTCCTGTCATTTTCCCGCGCGCGGCTGATTCACTCCCGGATGCTCTCCGGCTCGGTTCGGTCACTCACTCACTCGCTCACTCGCACGCAGACTGGACGGATGCGGAGGACTGGTGAATGCTTCATTTCGTTATTGTTGTTCCCTCCCATCCTTCCACCACCACCCGCAACCGCGGCTTCTCTTCGCGCTTGAGCTCGTTTTTTTCCAACATTTCGCACGGCTAACATTTCTTCGTCCTTGGCCGCGGCGCCACTACTACTCTACGCCACGCCGAGGGGGCGGCCCCTTTCACCGTGAGGGGCAGCAGCGGGCGATCTTTATGATGAGGGGGTTTGTGCTGCACTGCGTTACTCCTCTTACTTCTACTACTACTGCTTACTGGGTCGCATACGACTGCTGTTCTGCTTCCCTTTTTATTTATTATCATTTTTAAAAACGTTCATCATCGTGTGTGCTGCTGCTGCTGCTGCTTTTTGTGCGCGGCGTTTATGTGGTTCTCACAGTTGCAGCAGCGAAATGCTTTCACTTCACTACTGCTGTCCTGGTGGTGTGGGGGCTTGATCCTCCCCGCCCCCTCTTACACCCCGTGTGCGCGTGGGCGTTGTGTCGGCTGCACATGGCCCTCTCTACCCCGCCCTTTCCCGTCCCCGCCCTTCCCCGCCCACCCCTGCGGGTGCCATGACCGAGCAGGGGGGAATCCCCAGAGCTCACGAACACCTCCCCGTCGTTTGCGTCTGCGTCTGTGTCACTCATTCGGACGCAAAGCAAACACCTGCCCGTCCTTCTCTGCCCCGCCCGCCGCCGCCATCAGCCGAGGGCATCTGCAGAAGAGGGGGCTTTCGGTAGTAGTGGGTCCTAATTACGGTACGGAGGGCAGAAGCCTTTTATTCCATCCTGAGGGGAGAGAAGAGACCCTCCTCCGTCGCGCCACGCCGCCAGGGCAGCTCACGCCTCACACCTTGACGCGCCTTGCGCCCCGCCCCCTCTTCTTCGTGTTCAGCTCCACCCCCCACCCCCCCCTGCGCGCGCGCGCGCTCACACACACACACACACACACACACACACACACACACAAAACTGCCCCAGGTGTGGGCTCTTTGGCTTCGGCCAAACTGATACGTGTACACGATATGCCTTCTCTCGACCCTTTTTACATGGTAAAAATTGAATAAGGAGACTGTTTTCAAAATAAAACATAACTTGTTTTCTCTGTTTTCTTTTTTTTTTTAAAGGTTTTTCGTTTAGTTAGTTTTGTTTTGTTATTTTTGCCAGTTATTTCCTAGAGGTGCGGAAAAGGGGTTAAAACGGCAAAGCAAAGAGCAACGACGCACCATAGAGAGAGAGTGTGTGTGCCTTGGAGAGTGCGCTCTTGCTCTGTGTGTATTTGTGTGTGTGTGCGGTGACTCTATAGCCCAGTGTTTGACCCTCCTGTTTGCTTTTTGCTCTCTCCCTCTCTCCAGGGACCTGCGGCCGGCCAGCGTGGACAAGAACCAGGAGACGGTGCGCATGAGGCTGTACGAGGCGTACGCGTGGGGAGGGCCCCTCATCATCGCCGGCGTGGCTGCCGCCCTGGACCGCCTCCCCAAGACCGACGAGTACGAGCACCTGCTGCGGCCGGGCTTCGGCGAGGACAAGTGCTGGTTCTACGGTACGTAAATCGAGTGATTTCGTTAGTGCTTCATTGTTAAAGAAACTTCCCGTTAAAAAAAACAACGGAAAAATCTTAAATGTCTCCCGAAAATTTTGAAAAATTGGCATGAAAAAGTTAGGAGATTTTCAAAAACCGTTAAAAAATTCCCGATGGTACTTTTTTTTTTTGTAAAATGCTTTAATTGAAACGGCTAGAAAGCCAATTCCCATGGAAAGGGTTTTGCCGTGTGCTGCACCCTCTACCTCTCTCTCTCTGGCCCGCGTGATCCTCGCGTTCACGAGTTTATCGCGACGTTCATCTTCGCTGCCGTGGAGCTTCGTCCCTCCTCGTGACTTCCACACCACACCACCAACTTTTCCTTTCCGTATCCCTCCGCCCGCGCGCTTCTATCTCTGTCTTACGCTCTTGCGCGGGGCTCGACGGAGCGACGGAGCCCCGTGCCCGCCGCGATAATCCCTCTCTCTTTCTGTCTGTCTGTCTCTCTCTGCTCCGCCCCGGGCTCACGGTGGCTTATGGAAGGTGCATCGTGCAGCAGCTGCAACAGCAGGTGTACTTTTATATTGCCGTTTAGTCATTTTTGCAAATGAAGTGGCGGGGCGTGTCTGCAAAGAGAGAGGGAGAGTGTGTTGTTGTGGTCGGCTGGCTGCGGTCGCACCGGGACAGAGACAGACTTGCGCGCGACTCTAACTTTTCCATCACGAGGAGCTGAAGGGAGCTTCGCGAGCTTCGCTTGCGCGGCCAGCCACAGAGAGGCGGGCGGGGGGAAAATGCGCTTGTCAGAGGCATTGAGAGAAAGTGCGCTCTCCTGCAGCAAGGCCATTGGCGAAAATAAACACGTGCATGCAAAAGCGAGTGTACGACGCGCGGCGGAACCCCTCGTATGGTTAGTGCGGCATCTCATTACTACAAATTTGCCATTGTGTCGTTGTTCCAGGTGACATGGAGATCCTCGCGTACTTCTTTGGCCCGGTCGGCGTGCTGCTGCTCATCAACTTGTGCCTGTTCATCGCCACGGCCCGCGAGCTCACCTGCGGGCTGTGGAAGGCCGACGGCAACAAGCCCACCACGGAGAGGTAAGCCCAAAAAGGCGTAGAAATTTATTCAAGAATTTTGAAATTATTTTTGGCGGGTTTCTTAAA